GAGGAGAAATGACGAAAAATCAGTGAGAGGGGGGTGGATCGGGGCAAGAGGATCGGAAAACCACAAGTTGCAAAATGGCCGACTCAGTAATCTGGCATTTCGCTTTTTAGGCTCGCAGACAAATAATTCCATTCACGAAAATTTGTTTTGGGGTTCTAGGAGTCTCTGGTGTACAAACCATTTTTATATTTTTTTCTTTTCTTTTTTTTTTTTTTTTTTTTTGTATATGTATATGTATTTTTCCGATTTTTAAAAACAGTGCCAAATTTTGGTTTTGAGAGTTTATGAAAGTAATAAAAAATGCATGAAGCTGTGGAGAGCTATGATCTCCGATGACTTGAAAGGACACCGGCCATAGAGAAACCGTATGTAAACTTTCATGGTTCAGTGAGAAGTGTCCTTGAGTAAAAACAAAAATCAAAGTTGCTTCTGATTTGGATATCACAGATTTTACAAGAATATTTCTGTGTATTTGGATGTATGTCCTTTCTAAAACAAGTAGAATAAGGAGACTCCAATATACAAGTCATTAGTTTTCCCTGTCACGAAAATACTCCTTCTTTTTCTTTCTATATGCCGTCTCCTTTCAGGACGTAGGCGATCATGGCTCTCCATCTCCCTCTATCCCTTGCAGTTCTAAACAAGTTCCTTACCACCACCTTCGCCAGACCACGTTCTGTCATCCACTTGCTTAATGTCATGCGTTGTTTTTCCTTGACTCTCTTTCCCTCTATTCGACCCGTCGGTATCAGATTCTCCAGGCCCTCTTTCCTCATTATGTATCCCAGGAACTTCAGCTGCCTATTCTTGATGTTAAGTATACACCACTCTACTTATACGTCTCTCGGAATAAAATTGTTAGGCGCGAATATGCTCTTGTGTGCACAGGTATTTACTAAGGGGATTTTCTAAGCGAAGCTTACGTGTTGCACAATGCCGAAAGTATGAGGAACCCGGTGAGGATCGAACTCACTACTCAGTTTTAATTTTTCTGGCCAGACAAGCTTGCTAAACATTACACCACCTCGCAGTGCCGTACAGATATTTGCTAAGACTCACATAGTCTAGTGTAAGACTAAAAAGGCCACTGGATAGTCAGTGGGATCAAACTCATTACAAATAGAATACATCAGCGAAACGTCTTAACCTGGCTCAAGATCAAAAGTATGGAATCCCTGGTGAGGATCAACATTATTATAGCAATGACAGTCAACGAAAAACGCTTGTTAGCCATTACAAGACGACAGGTTTATAATATTGATTTAGCTTTATTACATTAAATTTCATCCAATACAACTCGCAGAACCAACTCAAGGTAGAGAGTTACTGTATGAGATTATCTATTCGTCATATCTTCGTATTCTTCATTTCTCCCGCTCTTCCCACTCTCTTAGGGTAGATTGTTCTAGTTCCGGGTGCCATGCCTCTTCCTAGTCACTTCGCTCAAAGTGTTATGTGTTCAATATCTGGCCACACCAGAGGTGGTGAACAAAAAATTCGGTAGATGAGCCAATAAAAGGAAATAACTGAAACTGAGATATCCGAAAGAGGCATGACACGTGGAACTAGAACAGTTTACACCGGAGGACGAAATAAAGAGTTCGGTTCAAAATTCCAATCACCTCAAGAATGCCAGAGCGTACAAAGGCCGAAACGTCGTGACAACAAAGATGAAAACAACAGCCCGATCAATTTAAACAGCCCGATTCAATATATATATATATATATATATATATATATATATATATATATATATTGATGCATGTTTCATTATATAATATAAACAAGTTTTGACTATTTATTTTAAGTCAGTTCCTTTCATATTGTCTTATAAGCTTAATAACATTATCATTGAAAGATGAAAGGAAATCACAATATTGATACATGTTTAAATCCAATCTAAGCTTTCGGCTTACATAAGCCATTATCAAAGATGACAATTACATTTCAATATATCAACCAGTACACGGACGAAACAATAATGATAGTCTGCTTTGGTTGCATGAAAAATTTCAAAGTAATTGTCATCTTCCGTTTCAAATTTAGACACCCCCACCTGAAAGTAACTCTATATTGATACTTATTATTAACACCCAACACACGCCTACCCAATTTAAACAATTCGCCCTAGCTGTTACCATGGAAATTTTGATTTCAATTATTAAAACACGTAAATTTCAGAAATACGTTATTCCAAAAAAAATTTCGCTTGACGATGGAACAGAGTTTACTTTAACTCAATTTAATTCAAATAATTATATTGAAGTTTTCGGCTCTTGTTTTGAAACATGAGACCTCTTATGTCGCGAGTTGGAATCATATTTTTAAATAAATAATTATATATATATATATATATATATATATATATATATATATAAAGCTTACAAGGATATGGCGGATATATATCAATTGACTCTAGACTTTTAAAATAAAAATTTTCGGAGAAGCATCCACGAAGGACACTGTTCCGAAAATTACCATTTATGGGGAAGATGTTTTCAGAGGTGAACCCCTTTTTTTTAGCAAAGGAATACGCAGGAAATGAAACTGATTCAAACCTGTAGAGTTAGCAAGGAGGGTCTTGTCCGTAAAGATCTGCTCTGGTGGCTCCCAAAAGATGAAAGAGCTCATCGGATCATTTGCCATGCTAGCGATATGATTTTGCCTGGTTCTGTCTATGGGAAAGGGACTGCTATCATCGTCATTTTTTGAGCCACTCGATGTAGGGGGGTTACTGAATGAGATGCCTGATATAAATTTAAGATGAGGAAGTAGGAAATTAAAGATTACGAGTATATGGTGGATAGAAAACGATAGACCCTACGCTTGAAGAGGTTAAGGGTGTAGTGCTCGATGAAACATCCACGCGGAGATCTGGAGAAGAAAGGAGTTGGGTTTATTATATTCATTTACGCGCAAATACCCTTGAGAGAGGTATGAATCCACCTCTTCCCCCCTCGGCTATGGGTTAATTAGTAAGGCCTGTTTCACTAAATAATTATCATCTCCAAAAACATATACGGCTTATCAAACCATAGCTGATTATTTAAACAAATCAACCTTTTTGTGTCAACTGACTGCAGCCACGAACCATGCGTTGGACTTTTTCAACTGCTTTCCTACATACAAGAGGTAAATCAGTTGCTCTATCAATAGCATGTGGGTGTGTGAATGGTGTAATGGATAGAGGCTCAGAATGACAAAATTAGAGAGCCGAGCTCGAATTCTAGTCGGGTAAGTTACATTAACTTACGCGCAAATACACTTGGGAAACTTATTACTCTCTCTCTCTCTCTCTCTCTCTCTCTCTCTCTCTCTCTCCTCTACCAAATATGGGTTAATTAGTGCCACGTACATCTGACAAAATATTTGTTATTCTCAAAGAAAAAACAAAGATATGTTTCGGCTTTAAATAACCTGCAAAGGGTTGATATACCATAAAAATTGTAAAATGTTCTTAAAGAATTATTAGTATTATTGTTGTTGTTGTAATTATTTCCGGGTATGAATGGTAATACTCTTCCTGAACCAGGTACATATAGTGTGTGTCAATATGATAATATGTGAGGAACGTATATGTATGTATGCGCGCATATGTACATGTATGCATGCGTGAGTATATCTGCTGTGATGTTTATGAGTGAGCGTCTGTCTACGTTTTGTTAGTCATTATATGTGTGTATGAATTCCTCTCTTTTATGTTGACATTGTAACACTGGAACTTGGTGTGTTTCCATTTCAAAAATGTTTATTTACTAGGACATTGCAACAGTTTCTTAATTACTCTGCCGGGAACATGCCGATCGGAATAATAATAATAATAATAATAATAATAATAATAATAATAATAATAATTATGATGAAGTTTAAAGGGAATTGGGGCCATGCAAATTATTCCAACGCATATGTTGCTTTAAAAATTGAACCAGTTATATCCTTAAGAAGATAACGAGTTTAACAAAAGGCAAGTACTTAGCTTGAGAAATATTGCCCAAAAAACATGCGATAGAAAAAAAGGGTAAAGAAAAACACGCACAGAAACTAACAAAAGTGGATAAAAAAAGAATATAAGATAGATAGATAGATAGATAGATAGATAGATAGATAGATAGATAGATAGATATCACAGGACTGGGACAGATACAGAGAGATTATCAAAAAAAAAAGAAGTAGCTATGAAAAGAATGAGATAGATAGATAGATAGATAGATAGATAGATAGATAAAGATTGAAACAGATAGATAGAAAGTTTAAAGGGAATTGGAGGGGGCATGCAAATTGTTCCAACGCGTATGTTGCTTTAAAAACTTATATATACATAATGAACAACCGTCTAGATAGATTCTGGCTGATAATGGCTCTCGTTTTCCGAGCTAGGGCAAATATCTAATCCCTTCCGCAGACGCCTGGTCTGGCACTTTTTTTCTTTTTCTTTTTGTTCAACACCCATAGGGCCCGGTTGTGGTTTATACTGGTACTATGCTGAGCGGATCTAACTTACAGTTTTTTGGAGAGAACTCATAATCTGTCATGATCAGCAGACTGAATAGCGCCAATCCGAACACTCAAACCCAAACAGTACCGTCTGCCTAATTTCACTCATAAGACTTGAGTAAACACATGGTGTGGTTATTAGACACTGTCAAAAAGGGCCGCACACTGCGATAGTCCCGCGTGATTTATGTAATCAAGACACTTTTCTGACAGTGTAAGGTTCGAACTCTCAGATCAACGGATATCTATCCTACATGCGCTCCTAACATGTACTTCTTAGTTTCCTCTATTCATTCATTACATCCTTACAACAATCTTCCTCAGTAACCCCCTACATTGAATAGATTTTGGGTTTTGTATTGAGTGAAGTTAAGTAAAAGAACTGAATGAGATAGATAGATAGATAGATAGATAGATAGATAGATAGATAGATAGATAGAACAAATTGTCAATTTGATAGATACATACATAACATACATACATATATACACAGAATAAACTGGTAATTAGATAGATAGATAGATAGATAGATAGATAGATAGATAGATAGATAGATAGATAGATAGATAGATAAAATTGTCAATTTGATAGATACATACATACATACACAGAATAAACTGGTAATTAGATAGATAGATAGATAGATAGATAGATAGATACATACATACATACATGCATGCATACAGCATAAACTGGCAATTAGATAGATAGATAGATAGATAGATAGATAGATAGATAGATAGATAGATAGATAGATATGAACAAATGCTTAGATAGATAGATAGATAGATAGATAGATAGATAGATAGATAGATATGAACAAATGCTTAGATAGATAGAGAGATAGATAGATAGAGAGAGAGAGAGAGAGAGAGAGAGAATAAAAGAAATCCTATTTGAAGTAAAAATAACTACCGAACAAAACATTTTTTAAAAAACCGCAACTACAAAGAACACGCATTCAATCCAGGTGTGAGTCGATGTATAAGTTAGGAAAATAAGGTCTCAAGACAAGTGTTCATGTGTATGTCGTCAATTGTGTGGGTCATGGATTTTACATCAGTAAAGATCGCTTGATTGTTGCTCTTTCCGCTTCGCTGACTCATCGTCCCTTTTTCCTGCTTTCGCCGCCATCTTTGATCTCTAGCACAAGCGGACAAAATGGCCGAAGTGACACATGTTACATCGTTCAGTGACTGTTTAAAACATTTATCCTTTTGGTAAGCTCTTCGTAAAACTGAAAAAGGAAGGTAAAAAAAAAAATGAATGAATGAAAAATACTTCAGAAAAAAGAATAAAATGATGGGAAAGTGAAAAACCAACCTGAAAAAAAAAAACGAAAGCGGAGCAGTATGAAGAGAAAAAGCGATGATGAAGGAAAGAAGCAAACAAAGAAGAATGCTGACGAATGAAGTTGAGAACAAAAACGAAGCAGAACGTAAGAGAAGGAATTGAAGTCAGAAGAACAAAAGTTAAGAGAGAAGTTTATGAATGAAAACGAAGAAGACGCGAGAAATGTGCCTAAAAAATAAAAAAAGGCGGGAAAACGAGGGAATATTAAGAAAAGCAATTTATTCAGCTGATACCTGAATGTTTTCTCAAAAAGTTTTCTTTTTGTTTCTTTTTTCTTGTTGAACATGCATATGGTCCCGCCAATCAAAATAGACTTAATGTTTAATTTCGAAAGGAGTGGGTGGTGGACCACATCCGGGAATATGTGGCGGCTTTTTTTCAATTAAAATGAACGGATGCTTTTGTCCAGTGAAAGCTAAAGAGATTTTTCTAACAAATGGTTGCACACATTTTTTTAAGCTTAAGACAATTAAACGCTGCTTCTTCCGGTAACCAAAATAAAAAAAATAATAATAAAAATTAAAAAAAAGAAAAACGGGACTCTTAGTAAACGCTAGCTGGTCATTTACATGCTATTCGCGTAAGCAGCATTGTACACTTCCGGTTACTTGGGCGATATGCTTTTCATCAATTGACAGCGTTATTACGTGCCTGTTATGATTAACAACACTTAACAATTTCATCTTTTGAACATATATTCTATGGCATCTATCTCCTTCGACAGTTGGCACAATCTAAAGCAACAGAATTGAAAGCAAGCGATGACTTTATCAGATGCAATATAATACAATGTTCACATTTTAAATTGTGACTTTTTTTTTCTCTAGGCTAAGCGACAGATGATTTTTTTTTCTGTACTCATATCGTGTGTATATCTCTTATAAATATCTGACATTTTCTTCATAGGTTATTTTAACCTAAAAAAGTTTACTGAATGAGGAATAACCAAAACGGTGATTGGAAATGAAATGGTTATCTTTATAACATCAGCAAAATCTAATACTCACCAGCGGCATAAGTATGTAAACCACTGCTAGTGGTGAAATACTTAGACAGTATATTACCCCCACTACAATAGTGTCCAACGTATTTATGAGGATTGGGACATACCATTAGTGTTCATAGATACGGAATATAATAAATAGATAGATACTGAACAGATAGATAGATAGATAGATAGATAGATAGATAGATAGATAGTGTTGTAACCTAGGAAAGGTTACTGAATGAGGAATAGTTAAAACGGGATTTAGAAATGAAATGGTAATCTTTATATCATCAACAAATTACAATACTCGCCAGCGGCGTGAAGTAGGTAAACCACAAAACCTCCCGATCACAGGCCTTGATGACAGATGTTGTTTACCGTCATACCCAGGACGAAATAAAAGGTAAGTGTCTAAATAAAGAAATGGTAGTAATAAAAGGAAAGTGTTTAATTAAAAGAAAGTAGACAACGCAACTATTTACTCCTGTTTTGATAGTAAGTCTGATCAGTTCGATGAGGCCAAATTGGTAGCTGATCTAAAAAATGAACTACAGTCTGTTGTTAACTGTGACAAGCAATGACAAGTAAACTTTAACGCGTCCAAAGCGAACCCTCTCTGTTAATCATCTGAGAGACCCGTTTCGGCCTTTCAGAAACACGGCTGATGCTGTCTCCGGAAGAGTGACTCTTTGCGTTTCCTCGGGCTAACATTCTTGGGTGATATGACGTGGAAAGATTATATTGAATCCATTGCTAGGTCTGCTCCTCAGAAAATCGTTTCCCTGTGTCATGTTTTTTTTTTCTCCAGAAACTATCTTACATATCTATAAGTCTACCATTCGTCTATTCTTTGAATATTTCTGCTACATATGGTCCAGTTCTCCTGTAGTATATTTAGAAATTCTTGATAAAACCCAAAGAAAAATCTGAAATATTATTGTTTATGAGCTGGCATCTCGGCTTCAGATACTTTCCCGCCATCGTCATGTAGATTCCCTGTGCCTTTACTACAAATAATTTCATTGTTCATATGAACTCTTTGCTATGATCGCGAGGTTTTGAGGAGTGTGGAACCATATTTTAACTGCTGTTTTTCCCAGGTCCACTCTAATCCAGAGTGGTAGCACCTGTTAGGGCCCTAGCTATGGGAAAATAGTGAAAAACACTATGAAAGTATAAAAATACATTTTTATACCAAAAATACCAGGGAAATAGTGAACCCCAAAACTGTAGTCAAAAAATGAAAATATAAAAATAAATTAGAAAAAATCACCAGCAGTATATGTTTTGGAAAAAATAAACAAATCTCACACGAAAATAAGATGTCGGCAGTAAATGACCCATAAGGTGTTGATATGCCGTTAAACAAACCGAACCAAAACCTTTTTGTACTGCCTCGTTCCCGATAGCCTTTACTCATGACGTCACGCTAGAATATTTCAAACATCCAGCTTTCCAAAGATGTAGATAAAGTGATTCTCACTACCACACAAACACCACATCGGTTCTTGATTTATTTTTATTTTATTTTTTACTCCTGTGGCAGTGGAGACTTCTGGGGTTATTGGCCCTCGTTCGATGGTGTTCCTTCGGAGGGTTGGAGTGATGGCGTCTCGAGCCTCGCGAAACTGAGTGGCTCTTGCAGCGATAGTTCGAGGTAATGCTTTCTTCATCATTGCGGCTGGCTGAGGATAGCAAAAAAAAAACATTTTGTTTTTGTTTATAGATACTTTGTTCAAATAAATACTTAATCCTTTAATTCTTTAATCCTTTAATTACTTATTTTTGTTTAATTAGGCACTTTTTAAATTACTTATTAATGATATTTTGTTTTTTAAACTTTGTACGTTTAATTTTTATTTTTGAACTGATGTTATGAGTCAATACTGGCAACACTTTGGAAAAATTCAGGGTTATCCTATTTGAATATTCTGATGAGTTATAATTAAGTTAATGATTGAATAAGCTTCTCGTGTGTTCTATGACTACAAAATACACGTTGAAATCCCTCTTATAGAATCGTTCAATATTTGAGCTTAACGACTTTAATAGAATATTGCCATAACATCATAAGTATGAATGTAGGTTATTATTCAAAAAGTTAAGATACAAGTGAAAAGATTCCAATTTTCCAATGAAAATAAACGTTAAACACATAAGAGCGTCATCGCTTCTTCTATATTTCCTTTTTCTCTCTTTTTCTTACTGAAACCAAACAGCGATTCTGATACGGCTTTTCCGCCCTTCCTCACGATCTAAACGGAATAGCCTATTATTCTTAACGTACAAGCTGACCTGGGTATGACAATAAAATATATCCTCTGATTGGTAGGTTTTGAGGAGCGTAGAGCCACCTCCAGGAGTGGCAGCACCTGTTAGGGTCCAAACTATGGGCAAACAGTTAACCATCAAACTGGAGTCAAACATTATGAAAGTATAAAAATAGATTTTTGGAGTAAAAATACCAGCAATAAATTTTCATAGTAAAATAAATTACCAGCAATACATTTTTGTAAAAGAAATTATTAATGCTCCCAAGAAAATTAAATTTCAGCATTAAATGACCCATAAAGTGTTGATATGCCGCTAAACAAGCAAACAAACGTGCCAACTAACGAATAAAGGAGTTACTAGAATTATAAGAAAACAAGAAATAACTAACAATTTTTTACGTTTTTGGGGGTTTTTTTCTATTGGTTGTTGGTTGACTTTGTTTAGTGGCATATCAATCTCTTGGTGTTGTTTAATACCAAAATCTAAATATTTTGAACACAATTTTATGGCTTCAATTATGGATAAAATGTATGGTCGATCATTTTATTATAAAATGCATTGTTGGTTATTTTGCTTTAAAATTGAATTGTAGGTGATTTTACTATAAATATGTATTGTTGGTACACTCCTCAAAAACTTCAATCTTCCTATCAGAGGCCTTGCTGCCAAATGTAGTTTATCGTCTAACCCCGGACGTTTTTCTATTGGAATTTTCTGATGAATCTTAATTCTCAAGTTAATGACTGAATAATCTCTGTGCGAGTTCTACGACAATAAAATATCCATAGAAATTCCCCTATCACATCTTTAGATATTTGAGCTGATAACTTTAACAAAATATTGCAATGATAAAACGTAAATATGAATGCGGGTCGTTATTTTTAGACGTAATGGGGTACAAATAAAAAGATTTGAAACTGACAACTTTCACCATTCACTGAAACAGACGTTAAAAACATGAGAGTCGTATCGCCTTTTTTATTTTCTCTTATTTGTTTTTCGTTTCATTTTCTCACTAGAAACCAAGTAGCGTCTCCATGTAGCGTTTTTAGAACTTGGTCCATTATTTATGAGGTATTGAAAGGGCGTAACGTATGCACATGCTTACTAAGGAACTAAGAGAGAGACAAACAGAATTATAAGAAGATAATTTGGCATTCAAATTATTCAAACTATTTTTCTGTTCTTTCATTTTTCAAAATGTTATTAAAACCACAACGTTTCGGCCCCTGTGACCATCTTCAGTTGTCCATTATTTTGACTAATATGGGATATCTTTTATGTGTTGATTATTGGGCAAATTTTGGCCATGTAATGACGTTTCCTGTTCGTTCTTGCTAAATCAAGAGTTTATGGATTGTGCTCCCTGATACAAAGGTTGAACTTACGATAGCTGCACGACTGTAACACTTGATTAGTCAGTGCCTATATCAAATATGTCACAGAAGTACATCGCTGGTATAATTGTTTTATTTTATTTATTTATTCTATTTTTATTTTATTTTATTTATTTATTCATTCTACCTATGTTCAGTTGTTTATTTAACTTTTAACTCCTATGCCAAATAATAATGGCAGCCGTTTCCTTATAAAGAAATATTTGGCATTCGTTGACCGAGCAGCTATTGCTACTGTTGGTTGAAATTTATAAAATCTTTCTCGAAAAACAGGACAATAAGCTTTTCAAGTCCAGCAGCTGCTAATAGTCGTTCCAGTATTGATGAGGGTTTCCTTCCTTGCCTTTTGTCTGGGGTTGTGTGGAACGTCAGCATCTTGATTATGCCATTAATTCTCACTTCTCGAGTTGTTGTAAGTCCTCAAGTGAGGTGGTTTCAGTTCTTTGGGACATTTCTTTGTTTATAATTATGTAGCGCCAGTTAACGAGTTCCGAGGAAGGTTTGAAGATTGCATGATTCTATCACTCGAGGCAGTTTTAGTCAGCGATCTGAGAAAGCAGTTGTATGGCGGGTTCATGCCACTTTTTAATAATTTTGTTTGATTATTCAGATGAGGAATTGTCAATAAGTTTTGACTTATTTCGTTTATTCGAACTATTCATCAAATCTTTATCACTATTGTTATTTTAGCCACAGCGTTTCGGCCAAGTACTCTCTAGTTTTCTTCAGGTATCCACTATTTTGGCTGAAAGAGGGTATCTTGTAAAAGGTGATTATAGTGTTAATTTTGTCCCAACTCCTAGAGGATAGTGTTGTTTAAAATGTTCGGCGAGACATGGGAAACGCTAGACAAGTTGGCACCTAAACCCACGGATCAATCTATTAAAATTACCTGAACATTTCTCTATCACATTTTAATTTTTATTGTTTTTATCATTTCACATCAAGGAAGGCAATAAAGCCACTAAGATGCAAGGAAGGTTACTGAGTGTGAAAGAATAAGAAGAACGGAAACATTGTTATGGAGCTAGAACAATAAAAGAAGAGAAATCAAGAAGACACTAGATAACGAATGACATTACATTTAAATTTTTGAAGAACAAAGTTGGTTGGAAAGCAAGGAGCCGAAAGTGAGTTCTACAAGCGAGAAAAGAAACTGCTAGCACAGAACATACGTCTGATCTGGAGTAATGGATAGCGGCTTGGATTGAGGAATCGGAGAGCCGAGTTCGAATTCCAGTCGAATCCATTACATTTACTTACGTGCTAATACCCTCTTCTTCTCCCTCCAGCTACGGGCAAATAGCAGGACAGACTGGGTTCTATAGCCTTGGATGGCAACTGGTCTAGGAGAAGGAAAACTCTGAATTCGAAACCTGCGGAGGGTCGTTTGGGGACCTTGTGGCACGTAGTGCACCAGGTCTCTGTAATCGGCCCTTCAAAAAGTGTGGATGGTCCTGCACGAAACCTTCACCACTATAATCAAATCTCATGTGCTATACATACGGGTTGGGGACCGCTTGTGAATTCCAAATTCCCATGAAACTCTTATATTGGAGCCGGCTCAACCCACCTCGGGTGAATGCCGTTACAAAAACAAGAAGAAGATCAAGCTAATTCAACTGTAAAATAAGTCCTTAACCGCCAATCTAGTACCGTGTTAAAATTCATAACATCTAGGTACTATAAAGGAATGTTCACCAGAACAATAACCATGAAAGTGTGTATAGAAAACACACAGGAAAAGCGGTGGAAAAGAGATTGAAGCCGGGATTTGTCTTTGAATTACTGAATATAAGAAATAAAAGACACTGTTAAGTAGAGAGAGCGATAAAAGAACAGGAATTAATAAGATAGAAAATAACGATTGACATTGCATTTAATTTTTTAATGATCAAAGTTGACTGAGAAGCAAAAAGACGAATGAGAGTTTCACAAGCGAGAAATGCGACAGAAAATAACTGTTAACATAGAACTTAAGCTTACATTTAGCCATTCCAAGTGTAAAATAAGACCGTGTATTTATACGTATATATATATATATATATATATATATATATATATATATATATATATATATATATATATATATTCTGTAAGTATAAGATCTGATTAAATAATACGCTTTCATTTTTCCTAACATTGTGTCAAGAAAATTATAGATAGATAGATAGACAGACAGATAGGGATATATATATATATATATATATATATATATATATAGAGAGAGAGAGAGAGAGAGAGAGGGGAGATCAATCGAAAGGAGAAATGACAGATAAAAAAGATAGATAGATAGATAGATAGATAGATAGATAGATAGATAGATAGATAGATAGATAGATAGATAGGGAGAAAGGGACATAAGCAGAAATGGTGAGAGTGAGATAAACAGAAAAAGAGGAATAAAGAGAAATGGTGAGAGAAATAAATACAAAACTAGATGTAATTAGATAAGCAGAATGTATGTTATATAAATAAACAGATAGATAGATAGATAGATAGATAGATAGATAGATAAACAGAATGGGTGAGAAAGAAAGAAAGAAAGAAAGAAAGAAAGAGATAGATAGATAGATAGATAGATAGATAGATAGATAGATAGATAGATAGATAGATAAGACTGGAATAGATCGATTATATATTAATGTAAAAATAGATAGCCGAAAGTCGATCGCTATTTTCCGAATCCAGCTGAGTAACTAAATTTGATCGGAAATTTTAATTGTAAATTGCTTTCTCCTTTTTCATAAAATTCCCAACTGTAGTAAGTAGTGGCAACAGAGGACATTGTGATAAAAAATAGATATTTCTTGCAACATTAGGACATGAACTTATCAATATACTTACGTATGTGTCCCATAAGTAAATACATCAATTTCTTTACAATGTGGAGAGAAGCGAAATATCACAGTAATATCATACAATCATAACGAACCGAAGAAATTTCCTGGTTTCCAAAACCGTTTTTGCATCAGATTTCTGCCTTGACCTAACGAAACTAAAAATGCCGATAGAAATCGAACATATACCAATATATATCCAATTATTAAAAAGTTCTTCTCGAAAAATAAACAATAATGAACCTACTGATGAGTAAATTAAGAAAGCTGTTAAAATATAAAAGATAATAAAACATCGTAGGTTAACTTCTCCCCAAATTTAATAACAATATTTTACAAAGGAAATTTGTAATCAGAAACATAGCACAAAATGTGTGATTTATTTATTGTTAATGCGTCATAAAATCGAAAAGGTTAAACATCAAAACTCTCCCACATACACAGGTATCTTAATTGTTAGTACCAAGGAGAGAATTTCCGAGGTCCGGCACTCAGATTATTTTGAGCTCCCACCTCAGGTCGGATAAACAAACTCAATCTAGCGTGTCTTACAAGACTTTTTAAAGAGCGTGTCTGACTTGCCAACCCTTGAGTGTGATTTGGCACGAGAATTAAACTTTGAAGAATTCATCGCGCATTCTGCTTCTATGTTTTTGTTTTTTTAGGGTTGTTTTTCAATAAAATACTGATTCGTAATTTTGTTCTATACTTTTTGTAAAGAAGCCATCCTCCTAACACCTAAAGGTATTTTCCTGAGGTCCCTCGGGTTTCGAGGCCCAAGAAAATTTGTGCCAGTTGTCCCCCCACTCTTGATTGGACCCATACAGTCAGTTATGTGCCATACTTGATACGCGTTTAGGCGATCACGTATCTTTCGATACATGACTGACGAGGCAGATTTTTTTCCCTCAGTAGGTTGCCATTTCTTTCTGAGGTAGGCCAGTTGCATTCCAAGACTATAGTCCTGCTATTTACCCATAACTGGGGTGGAGAGAAGAAGAGGATGCATACGTAAGTGAATATAATGTATTCAACTGAAATTCGAACTCAGCTTCCACAATCCAAGCCGCTATCCATTACTCCCCCTTCCATATTGGTCCCATTATGCGGAAAGTATTAATGAACATTGTATTGATTACGCTCTCATTTTCTTTCTTTCTTTCTTTCTTCATTGTTGCTTTTTTCTATATTTCTTTCTTTCTTTTTTCTTTCTCACCCTCTTTCTTTCCACCCACCCCCCCCGACTTTACCCTCCTATTTTTTCTGTTTCTCGATTTCTTTATTCCCTTATTTCATGAACAATTTTTCGTCAGAGGTATAAAAGTTCTATTTTGATTGAAAACGAGCTACAGTAAACAGAAATATGAAAAAAGATTCCATGGAACGAGAATAGTTATTTACTAAGCTTAGCTTAGTCGGGCACAAGGTCAGAAGTGATGAGCATCGAAATCTCTAACACAGAAATCACCTAAACGACTAACATCGTTTCCAGTTCTGAGGAGAGTCTTGTCCAAAAAGGAATAAAAATTGTGTGTTTTATCCTGATGAAAACCTTAAAAAATATAGTTAACGATCGTGAAAACCGACCAGATCTTTTGGGGTACCTTAGCACTCTTAATCTTTCATTATAAATTATTTATATATTCTGGCTCTATATTTTTAATGAATTTTGAATGTTTCAAATATATAAACACTACTTAAACTGTATTTTGTAAATGTTTAGAAATAAGCGTATTTCAATTTATTTTTTTTTTTTTTTTTTTCCAAAGATTATTTTTCGGGATTCTGATCTTTCAGGATTTTGATACATTCAGGATTTTAAATTCCAGGATTTCGATAGTTGGTATTTTCAGATTCGAAATTATAACCCAAATATTCAATTCTTTGTACCTGGAAGCTTAACAATTCATTTTAAATCAAAAGAAAGAAAGAAAGAAAGAAACAAACAAACAAACAAACAAACAAAGGTATGTAGAAGAAAATATTCACTGAAAGAAAGAAAGAAAGAAAGAAAGAAAGAAAGAAAGAAAGAAAGAAAGAAAGGTATGTAGAAGAAAATATTCACTGAAAGAAAGAAAGAAAGAAAGAAAGAAAGAAAGAAAGAAAGAAAGAAAGAAAGAAAAGAATTGGTCAGGGAAATAAATTTTTCACTGAAAGAAAGAACGTTAAGAATATATTATAGATCAGACACAAAAAACAAATATGAACTAAAGCAGAAAGGCAAACACCAAGAAAAGGAAGAGAAAAAGTTGTTGAATAAAAAAGAGAAGAAAAAAATGCGAATAGCGAATTCTGGTTAAGAAAAGCAAAGATATTTTCAATTTATAAAGGAAAGAAACTGAAAAACCAAAACAAAAAAACAAAAAAAAAACAAAAAAAAACTCTATGATAGCTAAATAAAAGAATAGAAAATAAAAAATTTAAAAACCCCACTCCGATGTTACATGCAGATATCAATTGTTTTTAAACATGGGATTTGCTGAGCAATAATTCGATCTAAGAAAACACAACGTCGACATAACAGTTCTTCAAAATGGATTGTTTCTGTTTTGTTTTCTGGCTAAAATTTCTTTCATACCATCGAAATGTTTCGTCAGCGATTTCTGTCTTCCAGCTTGAAGTATGTAGAAAAAAACACAGAGTGCTAAATTGCCCACTTGAGTTTTGTTTTGTCAAGAGAGGCGTGCATTTTACGGCCTTTATTTTGCTTTTTAGTATTGTATCTATTTGTCATAATATCATAATTTTTTTAGGGGTGACGTATTTCTCTTACGTACACCCAACGATTATTATTCATTGAATGTTTTTCACGTCCTCTTTTTTCCCCATCAACAGCTCCCCGCTACCCCCTGTCCCCCTCTATTTCCCCTCTCTCTCCCCCCCTCCTTCTCTCCCCCTCCTTCTCTCTCCCCTCCTTCTCTCTCTCCCCTCCTTCTCTCTCCCCTCCTTCTCTCTCTCTGTCTCTCTTCTCTCTCTGATTAACTGGGCACACTTTATATCAATCTTTCCCTTTCTCGCTCTCTCTTTTCTTTCTCTTATCTCTTAATCATGAATAGATTTTCATTTTCCAAACTATAGGCCCCAAAACTCACAAAAATCAATACTCATACATCTTTATACCGACTTTAGTGCACACACTAATATATGTGTGTGTGTGCATATATATATATATATATAGAGAGAGAGAGAGAGAGAAGTGTGGACATAGGAATCAAGACTGCATGGTGGCTGTCAGTTTCACTTCTAAATGCGAACTTCAGACCAAGCACTTGTGAAACTCACAGTCGCCATGTAGTCTTAATTCCTGTGTCTACACTCTCCCTATATAGCGATTTTCCAAGCGTAGCTTAGATGTGGCACAAGGCCGAAAGTAGGGGGTCACCCAGTGAGGATCGAACTCACTACTCAGTCGTAATTGTTTTAGCGAGACAAGCTTGCTAACCATTACACCGCCTCGAGGTGCCCAACACTCTCTCTATATATAATCGCTCCGTTATTTAACCGCTCTTCATCCATAACTACACCAAATTTTAAATCACGTATACCTGAAAATACTTGCAGTTATTCTTGCATCAAATGAAACTAGTCGCATAAAACTGAAGAGAAGACATATAAAAATATACAGGGTGTTTCAAAAAATTTGATATCATTTCGCAATCTAATAACTTTGTTAGATCTCCTTCAAATGACTTCAAATTTTAATAGCATCTTTATGTTTAATGTTTGTTTTATGTTTTTATGTCTTTATGTTTTTGTGTTTTTCTTATTTGCATTTTTATGTTCTTTAATCTTTAATCTTTTTCTTTACAGGTATAAAAATGCTATTTACTAGAAGAGAAAAGGCGTTTTGTGTGTTGGAGTTTGCTAGAACACAGTCAAACAAGACTGTGCAGTGTGCATTTATGAGAGACTTCTCTAGAAAGTCACCAACAGGAATGCAGATTTGGAGATGGCATAAAAAGTTCAAAGACGAAGGCTGTCTGTGCAGAGCAAAAGGATCCGGACGACCACAAACTTCACATTTGTGAAATCGTTCACATAATCCACATGCTTTTGAATTTCTCATTCAGATTTGGAAGAATAAATCGTATGATCTTCAACATTAATACTTTTGAATTTCATTTGCCTTAATCATGTACTTTCTGTGATATTTACATCTCAAAGGATATCAAATTTTTTGAAACACCCTGTATATCCAAGTATAGAATTGGTGTTGATGAAATAAAACTGCAATAACCAAAAACGCTATCCTTAAAAGAGTGCTCAATACAGAGTAGAGCAAATATTATTTATTTAAAAATTTAAAACATATACATGTTATAACATCACAACAAACCAGAAGTGTTGATAAAATGTCGTTTCAGTTCTGTGATTCATGAGTTAAGTAGGAAAACTTTTTCATATTAATTTTATTAACGCTCTACCTCTTATCTTCGATATTAATCATTCTACCACAAAGCCTGATTGTCTTAAATGTCTCCTTATCAGCAAACCACTGAAACACAAGCAATTAAAATTGACTTCAAAAACAGTCTCCCAAATTTAACAATATATATATATATATATATACAGGGTGTTTCAAAAAATTTGATATCATTTCGCAATCTAATAACATTGTTAGATCTCCTTCAAATGACTTCAAATTTTAATAACATCTTTATGTTTAGTGTTTGTTTTATGTTTTTATGTCTTAATGGATCGGGCGTGCCGGTGTTAAAGACAGTGTGTTGCTGAAATGGCCGCCACGTTCACCTGATTTAACACCTTGTGACTTTTTCCTCTGGGGCTACGTGAAGGGAATGGTGTATGTTCCCCCTCTTCCTGCAAACATAGAAGAACTCAAGCAGAGAATCAATACAGCACTGGAGACTGTTACCCAAGATATGCTTCAGCGTGTTTGGCAGGAGCTGGATTACCGACTTGACGTATGCCGTGTCTCAGGCGGTGCGCATATTGAACATTTGTGACATCGTTCACATAATCCACATGCTTTTGAATTTCTCATTCAGATTTGGAAGAATAAATCGTATGATCTTCAACATTAATACTTTTGAATTTCATTTGCCTTAATCATGTACTTTCTGTGATATTTACATCTCAAAGGATATCAAATTTTTTGAAACACCTTGTATATTGTCAGTATTATAATAGTAAATTTATTTTATCACTATTATAAAAATTAAAAAAAAATAAAAATAAAAGTAAAAAAAATAAAAAATTAAGTTAAATCAATAAATTGATGCACACCCAGCCCTCTTCCTCTTGAAAAACAATTTTTCGCTACCAGAGTTTCCTCTACACTCTCCGAAGTGCCCCGTGCTTTCCCCAGGATTTCTTAAATGTGATAGATATCACAATTAAGAGATGCGCGGAGCTAATTTGCAACGTTAATTTCGACGACACAGGCTGGAGGCGGGCAAAGCTCCCTTTGAGTTTCGGAGGCCTGGGCCTTCGATCAGCGATAGATTCGTCCCTTCCAGCATATCTTTCTTCATTTACGTCCAGTCGCGAATTAATTGATGAGATACTCTGTGGATCGTCTCAGTGTTTCTCGGGTAGTTCTTTCGAACAAGCTTGCAGCGTCTGGGCCCAAGAATTACTTTCTCTCCCACTAGACACATCAAAACAAAAAAGCTGGGATAAGATAAAATGCGAGGCCAATTTTACTAATTTGAGGCTCTCTCTGGATCAGCATCGCCTCGCCTGTCTACTATCTGCTTCACAGCCGAGTAGTGGCGCCTGGCTCAACGCAGTACCCTCTTCATCTACCGGTACCCTTCTAGATGATGAGTGCACTCGGGTCGGAGTTGCGATCCGTCTTGAACTCAAATTATGTGAGCGTCACAGATGTAAATGTAGAGCTTCCATCGATGAGTTTGGTTTGCATCCTCTCTCCTGTCGTCGTAGTGTCGGCCGCTTTTCACGGCATGCAGCAATAAACGACATCATCAGAAGAGGTTTGGATGCACAGGTTTCCCTTCCCAAATCGAACCCGTAGGCCTCGATCGTGCTGATGGAAAGCGGCCGGATGGCATTACCATTTTCCCTTTTAAAATAGGGAAGTCGTTGATTTGGAATGCGACCTGTGCGGACGCATTTTCGGCCGGTAATTTGATCAGGTCCGCGGTTGAGCCAGGATCCGTCGCCCGGGACGCAGAGATAAAAAAAATACTTAAATTTTCTTCTCTTGCTGATAGATTTTTTTTACTCCTGTAACAGTGGAGACTTCAGGGGTTATTGGCCCTCGTTCGATGGCGTTCCTTCGGAGGATTGGCGCGCTTGCGTCTCGATTAAGGGACGAGCTTCCCGAAACGGAGTGGCTTTTGGAACGTGTCTCAATGGCGATGGTCGAGGCAATCTTTCGCCGGCTGACAGAGGATAACAAAAAAAAAAAAAAAAAAAAAATGAAAACTGTTTATAGTTACTTTGTTCAAACTTTTTTTTCAATAACTAATAAATAAATCTCATTCTTTTTGTGCTGCCTCGTTCTCGATAGCCTTTACGCATGACGTCACGCTGGAATATTTCAAACGTACAGCTTTCCAAAGAATACCAGGATGCAGATAAAGTGATTCTCACTAGCACACAAACACCACATCGGTTCTTGATAATAACAGCGAAAGTCGAAATTACTTGAACAAAAATGAAAAAATATGAACTTCGGACATTTTATCTACAACTTCAAGCATAATACTTAAAACCTTATCCGAAAATTGGGAAAATACAAGAAAGAATTAAAGAGACGAACCTTAATGGTACTTTTTAATCAAATTTGTTTGGATAAATACTTTCTGTCTAATTATACATTATTCATATTATTATTCATAGATACAGAATTTATATGTAGGGTTTTAAAAATGACGGGCGAATTCTTTTAAAAGGAAGTGACTTTTTTTCGTACTGTTACGTGTTGATAATTGTAACAAAGGAAAAAAATGATTTACCACAATACAGAGCTAAATCACAAACAAATATTTAATTTAATAAAACAGAACATAAAATATATACAGGATAAACAATTGTAGCCTACAAAACAGAAAACAAAGAATTACTGGCGGAGTGTTACGAGGAAGGAAAGGGAATCAAATATCTTTATCACTTTAGGGCTAGTGAAGTAATCTAAGTGCTATATTTGGAAATCCACAAAGGTGTGTAAATAAATATTAATTTTTAGTTTGGTCAATGAAAATTAGTCAAAATTCTATTTACCAAATTTGTTCCATGATATTCTCTTTTGGGTTTTGGTTGGTCGGCAACTTTTTATAGAGATTCTTTCGGCTGGATATAATAGTCCTTGAATCAAAAGCCGGAGTTGATAACAGCAGAAATTCCTTTTCA